GGCATTTCATTTTACCGGTCATAGGTGTGTAGAGAAGTTTATGACCGGTTTTAGCATACATGGCCATACTATCAAGAGGGGCAAACTTGTTTGCTTATTGGTCATCTAGTGCCACTCGAGTGATCTAACTTTGCATCATTACTAGGACCGAGTGGCATGGCAAGTTGAGTGGCTAACTCCTTTCAGAAAAATGTTTGTGAAATGCTAACACGCTTGCACATGATGGTGTACACTTGGTGGTGTTGGCACATTTGCAAAGGAGAAGAAGTTGGTAAAGAAAATGAGTTGAAAGCGCTGGTCACGAGGTGATCGGACGCGTCTGATATCGATACCGGACGCGTCCGGTATTCTGGCTAGGCGCGGGCAGAAGTGCTAACTCGATTAGACGCTGCACAGTAAAAGTGACCGGACGCGCAGGGCCTACGTTCGGTTAGTGGTGACATACGCTGACATAGCGCGTGGAGTTGATCCAGAGGGAATCGGATGTGGGGACGAGTTTGGTCACTAGGGACCGGGATCGGACATGTCCGATTTCAGAAAAGAGGCTCTGGGAGCTCTCTGGACTCGACCGGACACTGCGTTGTTGTGAATCAGCTCATGTCGAGGAGGTGCGTCTGGTAATGTTGTCAGGTGTACGGGCGAGTTAGCCATTGACGGCAATGGCTATTTCAAACGGCTAGTGCCACGTGGAGGCGGTACAGCGACCGGACACGTCCGGTCGCCACACCAGACGCGTCCGGTGTGCACGAGCTGCGCATCCGGTCAGTGCGCAGAGTGCCCAGTGAAGGGTTAACGGCTAGTTTAGCCTGTGGGGCTATAAATAGAAGTGTTGGCCGGCCTTTGGCCGGTTGCTGAGCACCCTTGAGCCTTTGTGGCTTGTGTAGGTGTGCTTGGGAGCCCTCTAACTCACTTGAGCTTGATAGTGTTCATCCGATCGAGTGAGTAAGCGATTCTAGTGCGATTGCATCGTGAGATTGCATCGAATGGCACTAGGTGATTGTATTGCAAGCCGGTAGTGCTTGTTACTCTTGGAGGTTGCCACCTCCTAGACGGCTAGGTGGCTTGCGACTCCGTTGAAGCACCCGAGAAGATTGTGCGGTGTTGCGGAGGAGGATTTGTGAGGGGGATTGTGCTCACCCCGCGGGGATCGCAAGTGCAACTCTAGTTGAGCATGTCATTGAGCTACCCTCACTTTTGGGGTAGGTTATTGCGGTGCCCGATGTGCGGGCTTGATGGGTGATGCCAATTAGCCGCCGAACCACCAAGTGAGCGGTCGACACAACGGGGACGTAGCTTGGTGGCAACCAAGTGAACCTCAGGAGAAAATCATCGTGTCAACATTGTCTTCATCATCTTCTCGGTGGTTTGCATTCCGCGAAACACAAGCTTGTATTACTTTCATATACTTTGTGCTTGTGTAGTTGCTCTTGTGACTAGTTTAGTTTTAGTAGCTTGCTAGTTACCTTCTTGCTTGTTTGTGTAGCATAGAAGTAGCTTCCTTACGTGGCTAATTTGGTTTTAGTAACCTTGTTAGTCACATTGCTTAGTTTGTGTAGCTAAGTATTTTGCGCTCTATAATTTGGATTGTGTAGCCTTGTTATTGAGCATTGCTAGTGAGCTTAGGTGGCTTTGTGCTTTTGCATCACTAGTTGTGTAGGAGCTTCCCAGTTGTGTAAAGTACTAGTGCATAGGTTTGTGTGACCTTGCTCTAGAATTGATTAGGTGAGTTCTATCTAGCCCGGCACCTTAGTTACTTGATTAGGATCTTTTTAAGGTGCTTATGAAATTAGATAGAGGGGTGGTCTTGACTAGACTGATAGTTTTAATTCCGTATTTATTTTGATTAGCCGACGCGATTAATTTTAGAAAGGTCTATTCACCCGTTAGTCCGCCATACACGTGCGCGTGCTGGGCCACGAGTTTCACCTGTTGCGCGTACCGTCGACCGCAGGGAAACAACCACGGGGTAGCAGGCACGGGGCCGCGTGCGTGCCCAGCTACGGGGGCCACCGAGTGCAGGCGCGATTGGGAGTAGCCGGTCGCCGCCGGTCGCTGGCACCAGGTCACGCGGGAGGCCATCTCCGGGCCACTGCGGGAAAGCCGTCGGCTGTGGCGCCAGGCCACAGGCGCGGGGCCAAGTCACGGAGGCCGCGGGGGGCCACGACGAGGAAGCCTCTGGTCGTGTAGTCACCAGCGAGGGTGCTGCCGGTCGGCCAGACGCGCCACGCGGGCTCGACATCCTGATGCGCGCGGAGGCACGTCTGTGCCGCAAGGATGATCTCAATGACCATGGGCATAACAACACGGAGATGGCAGTCCCAAAGACGACGAACTTGATGAAGAATAAGCAACGATGAGTATCGCTGCCTTAGGTAAGAAACACAGAAGCATTCCATACCTTGATCCAGTACTCGTTCCTTCTCGAAATCGCAACGCCTCGTGTGAATCCGATTTGATATCGATCTTCTTCTGTTCTTGTTTTCGTGTAGACTGCGATGAACAGAAGCCATCGAGTCCCTGAAGTCGCCAAAACTCAGGGCAGAGCAAGTGCATGATAACGTGTTAGAAAATAGAGAACGAGAGAGATCGAGTGATGCAAATGATTCTTCGTTGTATTTCAATGAACAGTGTGTACATATATATACAGAGTCTATGTGGACGGCTACAAGTGTGAAAGAGAGAGGGGGTGAAAAGACACCCTTGGGATTAATCCCTAATTGAGCACTAAATAATAATTCTCATTCACGTGATAGATGATTGACGCAAGAGTTAAAAAGTTTTTGACATGTCTAATTAAGTTTATATTTCATACGTGCTTGTTTATGCAAATGGCTAATCAGAGATGATGTGCTGAGTGTGTTGTGCAAGACCATATTTAAGTTCTTGACTTAGCTAATGCTCGTATTTTTTTCTTCAGGATTTATTATGATGTTTTAGGAAAAAGAATCTTGGAAGTAAAAGGCATCTTGACCGCTGGATCCCAATTAAATCGGTGAGAAGGAAGATCAAGTGTTTCTTCTAGGAGGACCTTTCCTATTAGGATCTAGGTGTATTCTCCGCGTGCTGCTTCGGGAAATAGATGATCAAACTTTGGTACTGGTTAGGTGAAACTTGAAAGTAGAAAGCTTTCAGAAATCGTGGAATTAAAATCCATCCAATATTAGGGGTGCATTTTAGTTATACAAAAATCTGAAAAAAGTCAATGAAACCAAATATTCACACACGCATGGTATTTTCATTTGTGAGAAAAAAGGCGCATGACACAGGGAAAGGAAAATATATTCAAAAGGTTCCCACTTATTCACCAGATAATATTTGGTGAAGACTGAAGTATTTTTTCATAATTTTATAACAAAAATTATAGTAGTTAAGGCAATCCGTGTGGTGAAAATGAAAGATAATATTCACACATGGTATTTTCATACGTGACAAAAAAAGGGTGCATGATGACATAGGGAAAGGAAAAATGTATTCTGATAATATTTGGGGAAGACTAAGTATTCCCCAAATATTGCTTGATTATTAAACATACGTGTACTGATCTGCTACAATTAGTAATTATACTGTGTATGGGCACCTGAACCGTGTCAAACATTGTGACACCGTAGGCACTCGTAGACTCAAATAATCCCAGAAACTTTTGAGCAACGTTGAAGCCTTTTTCAGTGTCAATGAGCTATCAGGATGATGAACGCCTCACCGGTGTCGACAACTGTCAGCCTGTGCGCTTGCTCGTATACAATCGTGGATTATAAGCTAGAATAATATTTTTCTCTCACACTAAACTAGCCAGCAGTAAATAATCCACGATCGTTTACGGCCTGCCGAACAGGCTGTGTGATGTGCAGAAACTGATTGGTTGATCATCGACTGAAACCCTTTGTGGTTAGAGCTTAATACGGATGAAAATGGGAATCAGATCGAAGAAAGCATCATGGAGCCAAACAGCGAAGCTGCAAAAAGGAAAAGTGGTGAGACAAAGCGAGGGAAGTATAGCAGAACCTGGCACAATATTGTCCGTGAACTTAGACTTGTTTTATAGCACAGGAGGAGAGCGGTGGGATGGTGGCATGGCAACGGAATGACAGAAGTCACTCTCTTAAAGACCATTGGTTTGCAAAGATTGCCATGGTACTAGGCTCGGTTACGGGAGATGAGGAGACTACCAGACCAAAGGGCACATGATACAGGAGACGGAAATGTCGATGGATGGATGGTACCGGGATTCAATGAATGAACTTAGTAGCTTAGTGGGGGCCCTTGGGTGACATGGCTTCACATAATTGCAGAAAAATATAGTGGTGGAGTTTTGCTTTATAAGAGATATAGATTAAAGAGATATTGTTTCGACTGAACCTAAAGTAGGGACAGATGCACTTACATAAATATAAAAAAAAATCACTTACATAAATATAAAAAAATAGGGCCCCATACGATACAAAGCTCTTCATTATTCCACAATAGTAGTATTACGGTCTTATTTAGATTGAAGTTAGGAATCAGTATTTGATACTGTAGCACTTTCGTTTGTATTTGACAATTATTGTTTAATCATGGCCTAACTAGGCTCAAAAGATTCGTCTCGTAATTTATAATCAAACCGTGTAATTAGTTATTTTTTTATCTATATTTAATACTCTATGCATGTGTCAAATATTTGATGTGATGAAGAGAGTGAAAAAACTTACAATCTAAACGAGGCCTACGAAGCATAAGTTTCTGCAAAAGTTTCCCAGGCACAGAATTTTTGTGACATGACTATCGATGTCCCCCATCTTTGCCACAGACAGCATCGAGTTTTCTGTTCTCGGCTCCAGAAAGTGTACGACTATAGGTGTGTGGCAATCATGATTTCAAGCCACACCTTGTATGATAGTTGTGGGTTGGGTGAGGTGTGTATGCGTGAACATGAGAGGAGCCATACCTTACTTGCAGGAGCACAATGTTTTTGCCTACGAGCAACATTTCTGTCCCCTGACTCTACAAATTTAAGCAAAAACCTACTGCGAAGTTTCTGCAACATTCAGTCTTCCTTCGATGATATCTCTAACGAAATTGTTCAAAGAACAACGTGAAGATCCACCTTCCTGAATTGCGCTGTGTGAAGCATCTCTCAATTCTGCAGCTCTTCTTCTCATCTCTAGGCTATCAGCATCGCTCAAATCCATAAGCTTTGTTACAGCATCAGAGATTGCGGCCCTGCTGACAAAACCATCCTCCCTTCTCTGTTCCCTCAAGTTGATGCCAATCTTCCATTCATCGGCAACGAGATGACCAATCACCAACTGATCCCAAAAAAGGGGAAAAGCAAGCATAGGCACTCCAGCGAACACGGCCTCCAGGGTCGAGTTCCATCCACAATGGCTCAGGAAGCCACCGATGGAGGGGTGGCACAGGACCTTCAGCTGGTCACACCATGGCACCACCAAACCCTTGTCACCAGAGATCTGCTGGAGGGTGGTAGTGGTAGCTCTGTCCCGGGCCACCCAGAAGAACCTAACTGTGCTTTCATGCAGCCCCAAGGCAACCTCTTCCAACTGAGACGAAGGCATCGAAGCATAGCTGCCAAATGATACGTACAATACCGAGTTTCTTGGTTGGGCATCCAGCCAATCAAAGTAGTTCTCATGGTGAAGCTTGTCTGAATCACCCTTCAGTGGCATATATGGAATTGAGGGACCAACTGTATATATGGGGTAAGGAACCACTTGCCTTGTTCCATTGATGGCACCGGTTTCAAGCTCATAGAAGGAGGTGAAGAGGACACACTGTGCCTTGCGCACGTTGGAGAACACTTGTGCGCATCGTTTCATTGGCAGCACCATTGAGCGGAAGATCTTGACATCAGAACATTTTACTGACGAGAGGGCTGGGAATGGGAAATATTGATCCAAGGACTTGCAGCTGAGGCCTGCAGTTCATAGGAGGTCAGATGCTCGTATCTATAACTACTGAGCCAAGTAACTAAAAGTACATATGCAAACATATTAGCACTGGAAGTGTCTGGAATACTTAAACCAAAAGACTTCAGAACAAGTTGGGTGCTCTGAATGCATGCAAATTGGAAATTGTTATCAGCAAAGAGTAAAGATATTCATTAGTGCTTAGTGGGACAAGAAGAATTTTCTGGGCTAACTCGTTCATACTTTTCATTGATTGGCAAGTGATTTTGCCACTCTGAATTCAGCATCCGTGACTACCTTATTCAGGAGATGTAAAACGAAGGACCGGTTTTGTCCTAGAATCATGGTTCATGGGTTTGGAATCTCAGCAGTTACTTTTCAGCGAAGGAACAGTGTTTTCCTCTCACAACAAATCAGCATCAGCCAAATTTTAGCGAGCCGAACAGGGCCTAAATCCTTAATTTTTGAGCATGTACGCATATTATTCCCAGACACTGACATTTGGATATGCTTGTAAATAGCATTCTGAGGCTGTCAGATCAAATAAGACGCGCCATTTTCAGTAATCATTCATGAAGGCAGTAGCTGTCTTCACTGATCTCTAACTTTGGTTAATTTGGTTTTATGAACCTTTGAACAGAAATGATTCAACTAAACATTTTCTAGACACAGAACAGTAGTCAACATTGTTGCATCAAAGTTCTTGGAAGCGGGCGATGTTTGCACATAGACATTCATATATGACCTTCAAGATCATGACAGCATGGCAACTCATGAATCTTCAGGTATCTTTCTTAAGTTGCTGGCTCGGACTAATGGTCAAAGAACAAGTTTTTTTTTTCATAAAGGGAAAGAAAAAATCTTGGGAACATGAACGCAGAGCGGATATACAGTACAGACTACACAGAATTTTTAAGTGATTGCCTTGGATGACTTAATAAATAAGCAAGAAGAAAAACAGAAATAGCTCTCTGCTAGTCCCCTCTGACTCTGCCCTCCCTGTATCGACTAGTAAATAACTACTAGATCTTATTTTTCCTGCGTTTGGACAATCAAACTCCTCACGCTCAAATTTTAATCCACCATTCAGTCGTATACCAAAAGAAGGGGAAGTAGCCAATACCTTCTTCCCCTTGATCACCATCCGCCGGCGGCCATCGGTCCAGGTGCCAGAGCGCCAAGAAGAACGTGGCCGGCTGCGTCCACAACGAGCACACCGGTATGCCCCACGCAGCTCCGGCCGCTACGCCCCAAATCAGGAAGGTGTCGGCCACGATGGCGTCCGGCTTCTGCTCCAGCGTCAGGCGGTCCAGCAGCCGCTCGACGGGCTCCACCATCTTGACCTGCACGGCCTCGACGAAGCCTGCGAGGTCGGCACCGCGGTCCCGCTCGGAGGGGATGACGTTGGGGATGGTGGCGAGGCGGACGCGGTCGGGGAGCGTGTCGGGCACCCCCGCGGCGGCCAGCAGCGCGTGCCACTCCTCCGTGACGACGACGGTGACGCTGATGGCGGCGTCCGCGGCGGCGAGCAGGCGGCACACGACGAGCATGGGGTTGATGTGACCACGGCCGGGGTATGGCACCGCGATCACGTGCCGAGCTGCCGCAGCTGTGGCCATTATATTTCTAGGCGCAGACTGCAGAGCGAGATCGGTGGAGTACTAGTACAACAGCGAACGTGGAGTAGTAGCCATTTTCATCACTCAGACTTTCCTCTGGAGTCTAGGCGTCCTTCCGGCTCCGGCGCTTGTAGCGGAGGGCGGAGGCGGAGGAGCTCCAGAAAACGCCTTCGACGGCTCCATTTCTATTAAAATCGAGCGGTTTTGACCGGTACAGTGCAGCACGATAACGCATAATTAAGGGTACTATCGGGTAGGTGACTGGGCGCATTTGATACTGCTATGCTAAAGTTTAGCCCGGTTGCATCGTACTACTCCATCCAAATGTTAAGACGTTTAACTTTTTTTTTTCTAACTTTGTCCACTCGTCTTATTTAAAAAATTTATGTAAATATAGTTAAATTTAAGTCATTATAGAAGAATTTTTATTAATAAACCAAACCACGACGAAAAAAGTAATATTTTACACAAATTTTTGAATAAGACGAGTGTTCAAACTTGGTGTTAAAAAAGTCAAACGTCTTAAATTAGGGATGGATTGAGTATGTTGGATGCTAATTAGAAGTTAACCACAACTAATTATAAAACTGATTATACATATAGAGGCTAATTCACGAGATCAATTTATTAAGCCTAATTAGTTCATAATTTGACAATATGGTACTACAGTATATATTTGCTAATAATGGATTAATTAGGCTTAATAAATTCGTCTCGCGAATTAGCCCAGGGCTTCTGCAATTAGTTTTATAATTAGCTTATGTTTAGTTCTTCTAATGGATTAATTAGGTTTAATAGATTCGTCTCGTGAATTAGCCCATAGTTTCTACAATTAGTTTTATAATTAGCTCATGTTTATTTCTTCTAATTAGCATCCGAATATTCGATGTGACAAGAGCTAAACTTTAGCCCAAGGATCAATCTTCCCGCCAAACCCACGCCTGCCCTGTCGCGTCCTATCCGCACCTTTTCTCAAGCCCCACCCCCACGAGGGGAGTCGTGCCCTCATCTTTGTCCTTGCCTCTGTTGCTGTCCACCGCCCGCCACGACGCGTTAGGGTTTCGTTGGACCTTAATGGCCATAGAGCTCCAGCGAAACCCTAGCACGCCCGCGGCGGCCGCCTTCTTTCCCTCCTCCTTTCGCAGCGAGCTCTTGCCATGGACAACCCCGCCCCAACCTAGCTCGGCCACCTCCACCGTTGCCAGGACCCTAAGTCGCGCCCTCCCATCGTGCCCACTACCTGGCCGACCTTCCTCTCATGAGCCCTTCTCTTCTAAGCCCGCCAGAGTTGGAAAAGAAGAGAGGGAGAGTCAGAGAGAGAGGGCGCTGCCACCATCACCGAAACCTGCCATCTTCTTCTTCGTCTCTGGCACGGGCGGGCACGACCCTTTTGGTGCTCCAACGGCTACTCCATTTGGGGCTATAAATAGGACCTTAAACCAGCCAAATGAGGTATGTGGGAGTTGAGAAACATAGCAAGAGAGTTGAGGCTCCACTCTAGTGCTTTCTACATGCATAATGCTTATGAATCACTTGGTGATTAACGTAGATGCTTTACGAAGTGATTAGGCTAGTTAGACCACGCTCATATGCGCTTGACACTCGTGCTTGCGCGTCATTGTTGTACTCGGCGGGGCTTGTAAGTCTTGCGAGACCACACCAACCATTGTGGTGTGGCCGCCACCGTGTACCGGGAGGAACAAGGCCTATGGCATTTCAGCCGGAAGCTTGATAGTGAAGACGGTGGGGAGCGGTCTGGGAGAAGCTTACCGGAAGGCACATCGAAGACCCACTTGCATGTGGGGAAGGCCGTGGGCTATCCATGGAGTTACCCAACCGGGAGCTTGGCCTTGTGTGGGCTTCCTTGCGAAGGGCTCCAACGAGGACTAGGGAAAGTTTGCGTGCTTCTCGATACCTCGGTAAAAATACTGAAGCTGTCGATGATGAGAGTTTGCATCTCTCATCTTTAACTTCTGCATTTATATTGCAATCTCGGTTGTGTGCTTTACCTTTTCTAGCTTAGTTCATAGGCTAGTTGATATGATTGAAACTTAAGTTGCATAACTCATTTTGCCATATAGATAGCAACACATTAGTAAAATTGTAGTTGCACATTTAGATAGTTTATTTAATTACATAGGTTTGCTGAGGTTGAAATTAGAGGCCATATTTTAGAAGTAGATTTTAAGTTGCCTAATTCACTCTCTCTTTTAGGCGTCACGGTCCTTACACAAGCCGGTGGAGTGAAGTTATGCAAAATAGGCCTTAACATTTCAAGCTCCAGCTCTACCTTGGAGCCGTTTGTGAAGCTGAAAAAACAGCTTCTTTGGTGAAGTAAAGTGAAGTTGTGCCAAATCGGACCTTTAAGATTCTAATTTAAAGAAGAAATTCAACTTCTGTGACTTTAGTTTTCATTGGATCGCTTTGTCGCGAACAAGTCAAAGAGTATGCCTGAGAGTCTATTTTTTTTCTTGGTAGAGAGGGTCGCCAAATTTGAAACGCAAGCAACTTTTCTGGAAGAAAACCTGCGTTGCACACTTGCCGTTGCTTTGCACATTTCAATCATGGTCTTGGTAGGACATTTCTAATGAGGCGCCCGGATATAATTTTTGTGGTGTTTGATATAATTGATTACATATTTAGCCATTTTCTTTCTGTACAAGTGAAGTGCAGTGTAGATAAAGAATCGCATTTACTGACTTACAAGATAGTAACCTGCATTTCTTACTGAAAATGATCAGTTCCTCACTGTGTACATCTGACGTCTCGTCTTCGACAAGCTATGAACAGCGACCGTCACTCAAGCCTCAAAAAACCAGTAGTTTGCCTTATCAGATCAGATTATATATACTCCCTCGTACGTACTTTAGAGCTTCTCAAAAAGGGCGATGTTGCCAACAACGTAACTCATCACCCAAACCACTCATACTTGAAACGAGTCCACTATGGCTTTGAGAACCTTCTGCGACGCCGGCCACTGCTTGTCGTTGGCGCTCGCGACGAACAGCACCACCGTGTTCCCCTTGGCGGTGGCCTTGGCCAGGTTGTGCGAACCCGTCAGCGCCAATGGAGTCTCCAGCACGTAGCTGTAGTACTGCATGACAGGAACCGTGATCCGCGTAAGCAGCTCGCCGCTTTGTAAATAACCCGAGGAAGATTTCACTACAACAAGCAAGGGGAGGAGCGATCGAGGTCAATGTGATTACAGTCTGGCCGTCGACGTTCTCGACGTTGGTGTCGACGAGCTCGTCGGCGTCGAAGGTGTTGCCGGTGACGAAGGGCCCCAGCGAGGCGATCAGCCTCTCGGGGCTGCCGATGTCCTCGATCGTGGCGTTGGGCTTGTTGGTGAGGCGGATGAGCGGCGACGCCACCACCTGCACCTTGCCCTGCTTCTCGTCCTCGAACTTCACCTCCACCCACGGCTCGGCGCACTTGGGCTGGCAGTAGTTCCCGGACAGGATGTTGGCCACGCGCGTCTGCTTCCAGGTCGGCGGCAGGATGAACTCGTATGGCTCCACATTGCCTGAGATTGGCACGAGTGAAATGAAACCCAGATGATGCACCGGCTGATGCCACAACAACATGCTTACAGAGAAATTATGGCAAGGACCGAGACCTCACCGGCGCGGAGCGCGGGGGTGTCCTTGGGGGTGGCGCGGAAGAAGACGAAGCCCGGGTTGGACGGCGCCGGCGGCAGGTATGTACCGACCTCGACCTCGCGCGCCTGGGCCGGCAGCGGCGCCCTCGACAGCACCGCGCTCAGCGCCGCGCCTAGCACCAACTCCCTCCTGTGGCTAGCGACCGCCACGAGAGGCGTCGGCCGAGGGACGGCGTCGTGTACCGTCGAGGGCACGCCCTGCGGATGAGAAGGACAGCGCGAGACGACGGTGGGTACGGGCAGCCGGAGCGAGGTGAAGAGCGGGGAGAAGACGGACGAGGCCATTTTTGGGGCAAAAAGCCGAGCCGAGCAACGGGTGTTTGCGCGGCAGAAACGCCTTATCCACACCACACGACTCGAGCGCCTGCGATATTTTGGAGCTCACTGAACTCCAAAGCCCAGGAGGACGTGCGCACGCGCGGCTCGGCAGCGTCCTCTCGTCAGCCCGTGCGTCCAGGATAAGATAGAGCTGCCCTGTCCGGGGAGTGGCGTGCGGTGCGGCCGAGCGGGAGGGAGTAGCGCGCGTCAAGCATGGCTCCGGCAGCGGTGGCCGCTCCCGTGGCTTTAGTCTCCCCTGCGGCAGCTGCGCTCGCCCCTGGCAGCGCCGTCCGCTCTGCCAGGAGGATAGCCTCCTTGCATCCTTGCCATTCTTCCAGTACGTGCCACTGCTACTCTTTAGCTTTCTCATCATCTTATTAAGCTGATTTGATTCGAATCCAATCCTGCTCCTTCTGCTCTGTCCCCTAAGCCAAAATCGTGCTGCTGCCACCACCGAACGGCCTGCTCAGATCGGTGAGGCACAGGAGGTGCTTCGCGCCACGGAGCAGCATCTCGGAGAGCAGCACGGATGACTCCCAGTCCCCGAAAGAGAAGGTGATCCACGCCCTGAAATCCCCGAAACACTCCTGAAACTGAAAACACCAGCGCGCACGGCCAAAATTAAACCGAGCGGGGCTACGGTCGTCGCGTTCCGTTGCAGGCGCCGTTCGGGTACACGAGGAAAGACGTGCTGCTGATCGGCCTCGGCGTCACCGCCTTCGGCGTCGGCCTCAAGTACGGGCTCGAGGTGAGCTGCCGCGTCCATTTTTAGCGCAAAGATTTCGCTCGTTTTTCATCTGCAGTTCGTTTACTCGCTCGGAAACGCTACGCGCATGCAGCTCCTGGGAGTCGACCCGTTGCAGGCCGGGAACGTGGTGCAGCTGCTGGTGGTGCTCGGGATGACGGTGGGCTGGATCTCCACCTACATGTTCCGGGTGGCCAACAAGGACATGACCTACGCGCATCAGCTCAGGGACTACGAGAAGCAAGTCATGGAGGTGCGCGTCGTGGCTTCTGAGTTTATCGCATCCGCTAGCGGCTAGCGCCGTAGAGAGAGACTGATCGCCAATGGCCTGTTGCTTTTTGTGTCCTTGCAGAAACGGCTGGAGAGCTTGTCGGAGGCTGAGCTGCAAGCTCTGCTCGAGCAGGTGGAGGAGGAGAAGCAGCGCATGCCGCCGGTCCCGGAAGAGCCGAACGCTATTACCTTCAAGAAGAAATGAGGATCGTTCTATTCTATCTGCCAAATGGACATCGTTCTTCGACATGTTTATAGCGTAGCTTCAGTAGCTAGCTCCATCGATCTTTTAAGATCTGTATTCTGTACAATACGCCCGCTAGGCCACTAGTGCAGTAGTGCTGTCAAACATGATACATGAAACATTCGCTTTCTGTCGTTGAGACAACAGCATGGCACCAATAACCAATATCCGTTGTGTCAGATATCATTGTTGTTACCATGTCTACCGCAATGCTACCATTTGGGAGGTCTTCACTCTTCAGCATCGCCTGTTTGCTCTTCCATTGGTTCGTTTGCTTACGTTATGATCAGGTCAGGGCCTGATTAGATGATCTAGGGCTAGTTACTACTTGGGCTAACATTTTACTCAAATTAGCCAAGGTTAGCTAGCTAGTTGGCTAACAACTAGTTGAAGACTTGTCTGAAAAACTTAGCTCACCTATTAGCCTTTCTGTTTGGATGCATTAGAAGCCCTCAAGAGTAGTTTTTTTTTTTCACCGTATATTTGAGACTCTTAAATACAGTAGCCCCAATAACAAATACCTTTTCCAGAGTTTCCATTGTGCAAGAACGATATATGCACGGATTGCTTGAGTGATTGAATGCATCACAAAGGATATTTTCTTCCTTTCAAAAAAGAAAGAGAGAATATTTTCTTTTTCTCAGCATTGGTAAGATGAGGAGTTTGTCACTTTTATGGACATATGCATCTGTTATCATAGAACATGCAACATATCTAGGAAAAGAATAGAACACTAACACTATAGTTAACTACTACACCTCAAAATTAAAAAGTGACACATAGAATGAATTAATTATCTTGTGCACCGTATTTTTGCCTAAAAAATCTATTGCTTTAGAAAATAACATTCATGTTTAGGTCTTCAGATATCATGGTTACCTTAGGCAAGCACACTAGCTCATTTTTTGTTTAGCTTATTCAGCAAGTAAGACTCCTCGTCAGCTGGAAATATTAGTCATACATCTTGATAAGTGCCTAGGATACATTTTTCTACAGAGTCGAGAGCATGGTTGTTTGGTTAATTTGTTGAATCAACATATTCTGCCTGTTCACTTATGCTGAAATTTGGCTTATGCTGATATTTATGCTGAAATGTTGTGAGAGGAAAACACCGTTTCATGGCTGAAAAGTAGCTCAAGCGAACAGGGCGACAAACCATCTAGCACATGGTGTGCGTCCTAATGACAATGTGGTCGACTAATGGATGAACGTACCCATGTTCAAAGCTGAAACTACATAATTTCTTGAGCACTCTGATTAGCAAGACTGCATCATAGTTGGGAATGAAGTTCAGAAGTTTTTACTGAATTTATGCTTAGCCTCAACTATTCTTTTTCTTAGTGTACATGATACTGAAACTGCTTAGCAAGGACTTGCATTCTAGTACTCATTGTATTTCCAAGATTTCGCGTTTCAAACGTACAGCAAGTTGACATACTAGCGTGATTGATAAATATCAATAAAACATATGTGTACGATATCTAAATTATTATTATTATTTTTGGTTCCTATACAGCGTTGTTGATAGTAAAGACACAGCGATATCAACAATTGTTCTGAACATTCGAACATTGCCACCTGAAATTGCAGAGGCATTTCGCTAAAAAACAGGAGCTTACTCACGATCCAGAAGCTTGAGACTTGTCCCTTGGGCTTTGGATGCAGAACTAAAACAAATGGCTCAAACCTTTACATCGGAACCTAATCAAGTTTGGGAAAATCAGGGAGAGAGGGCACCTGGGATTAATGATGGTGGCGGCCGTCGCTGGAGCAGGTGCAGGCAGCGGCAAGCAGCAACCACCAGGACCAGGCCAGAGGAGACCCAGCGGCCGAGCTCGACGGCGTGGGGAATCAAAGGCACGCCTGGCAGCCTGTGCTGATATAGGCGGAGAGGAGTTGAGGAGGCCAGAGTCGCTTGTCTCATCGAGGTCTGGTTTCCCGGTGACGGCGGCGGCGGGAGCGCGGTGATGTGCCAAGCGCGTAGGAACCGTGCACATCCGGGCCGTAGAAAAAGAAGTTGCTCAACTGGGCCCAATGTGCACCAGCCCAAAATGACAGCCCGTAAGGCCTGCCTCATCAAGCATGGATAAGATAAAACAAAACAAGCAGCAGGGAGTGGCTAGCCCGCAGCACTTGGCGAGTCCTCCAACCATGGCGCTCGCACTAGCCCCTCCAATGGCGTCTCTCTCCTTCCACTCCGGGAGGATCTCAGCGGCGGCTATCGGAGGCGTCGCCCGCACTCGCAGGGCGGCCCCGGTGGGGGTCTCCGCCTCCCCGTTCCTCCGGAGTTCCTTCGTCTCGTCCTCCTCCACGTCGTCCGCCTCCCCCGCCTCGCTCGCGGCGGCGATCTCGGCGTCGCTGGCCTTTACGTCCTCTTCCTCCTTCGCGGGTGAGAATGCGTCCCGTATTCCTTTTCTTCTCTGTATTCGTGTGCTAGCGTTTGGGCGGTCATTTGTTTTGGCCTTTGGTGGAATTTGCGGGTAGTTGCTTACTACTGTAATAAGCTCACATGGGGAAATGGCATTGAAATTATGACTTCATGCACCTTGTGTTGGCACTAGGTTTGCAGAATAGAATGTTTGAATTGTTAATACGTGATTCACTAATGATACCAGGAAGGTGGTATCAGGAGGGTGGAGGTTTTGTATTGTTTGCTGTTCATTGCTCTAGTCCACTATAGGGAGCAGAAGACCTGGGGACTTATGTTAGTTTAACGTTTGAAACAGAAATAACTATGCTCCCCTTCATCTAAATAAACATAAGTGTCCTAGTTAGTTGTGCGAAAACATTGAAACTTGTGTGGCTGGTATTATGAAAAAACTGAAATTCAGTTAGTGTCAAACCTGTTGGTTAATTGGATGGTTCCCAGAAATCTGAAATTTTATATTCTGGAGTCTGAGCATTCCTAAATGGCTCGATCAACAAAATTTTATTGAGTATAATGTGAATGTGAGGCGAAGTTAGTTTGTACAGTGCTTGTGGAGTCGGTTGTGTCTTGTGTGTCAGTGTCCAAACTTGAAACTGGCTATGCTCATTTTTTCAGAGTTATGAGAAGGAGCAAATATGAAACTTTGTAATTGTTATTATCTCCATTCTCCACAAAATGTCTTGTAATTGTTATTATCTCCACAAAATGTCTGATGAGTTCTAGACTATATCTGTCTGAATTTTGTCCTAAATGATGTGAATGACGCAAAATCTTACATAACAACAGCTACATAGAATTGGCTATTTTCTTTCAGTCCTGAATCATTTAGATGTTGCTAAATATTACAAAATAGCTACATAGAATTTGCCTTTTGGTTTTTCTATTGTGAATCATTTAGACATCGCAACATCTTACATTACATTGAACTAGCATTTTCTTTTGCTTGACAAGAAATTGAGATTTAAGAAGGGCTGCAAGCGACAGGACTGTTGACCAACATAGTCAAACAAATTATATAACACAGTTGAAGCATAAGCGCTTCCAAAGAAACTTGATCTCAAGACTGCTACTATGGCACCACTTTAATCACAATCGACTTTTCCATTACCTAAAGCTATCCCAATGCTCCTAAAATAAGCACAACAAAGTTGAATTCAATGAACCACTTAAGCATTGTATAACCTTTTCCAAAATCCAAACAGAACCAGATACGTATTCACAAATATGTGATTGTGAATGCCTGTGTGCCTTCATTGTTCTTATACTTTTAACATGTTCTATGTCAGGTTCATCTTTAGGAATTGAGTTCAGCTACAATAGAATGACAACACGAAGATCCCGTGGTATGCAGATTAGGGCTGGAAAGGCTGCCCTCTGCATGACCAAGAGGTCAAGATCTAGGAAGTCACTTGCCCGTACACATGGTTTCCGCAGGCGGATGCGGACTACTTCTGGACGAAAGGTACTGAAGCGCAGGCGTGCCAAAGGCAGGAAGGTTCTTTGCACAAGGACAAACTCACCCAGTGGGAAGAAAAGATTATTCTAATTACACTGCAATTTGATGTGCTTGCAACTGTAAGTGTACTTTCTACTTCCAATCTTCTAAGCCGCCGTCTATCTGTAACAATCATGTAGCATCCTATTCCTGTTTGTTTGGTTAAAATATCTGGATATATTACCTTCTCCACAACTTAAGATACTTTTTTGGGATGTCGTGGTCCTTCCTCCCTGTTGTTTTGTGCCAACAGATACTATGCTTTCTGCTTCCAAGGTTTTATTTGGTGCACGAATGAGATTTCCTTATGAATATTGACTCTGCCCTAGTGGGCATGAACTTGTGTGCAGTAGCATCTTTAGAGTATCAAGGAACACTTGAGGTTCTCGAAAAAAAAAGGGAACACTTGAGAGTACCTTCGCTGTTATGAAGTAGGATTTCCTTTTACGTTGCAGATAATCCGTTATGAATACTGAATCTTCCCTATAGGGCCTGAACTTGTGTGCAGTAGCATCCTTCGATGTGCTAAATTAGGATCTCCTTTTGCGTTGCAGGGATTACCCGTTTAACTAATAATATATAAAATAGACAGAGCTTCCAATAAGAATCACATTTTGAGTAACATGGGCTACATACAGCAGTTTTAACAGGTCATATCCACAAAGGGATGGTTGGTAATCTGGTTCCAATTTTGTGGCTTACGAAAGATCGGTTTTGGAAACTTGGTAACAAATATAACAACCAATGAAAAATCATATAAGAAAGTCTCAGATATTAATGAAAAATCATATAAAAAAGTCTCAGGTATGCTTGGATCCTTTGCCAACTTGGGCTAGCTGAGCAAGGATTGCTTAGCTTTACTTGACAAGGCCAGGAGACAGAGCACTTCGATACAGGGATGTTCGATAATCAACAGAAAAAGCAAAGGAATCGCCATCTACATCGGGATTTCTGGCAGAGACCGAGGGGCCCTGTATGGGCGTAGTCTGGTCTTTATCACTGGATTACGAATAATCTCAGGCCATGGATACACCGTTACCGTACTCTGCATCAAAATCTGAAGCACTTCGCGACGCGCCTTGCCATCTGGGCTCTCCGGCGGCGGCGGCGGCGGCCGCCGTGGGCGCAACTCTTCCTCCAACCGTCTGAGCTCGCGAAGGTAGCAGCGGCGGGTTATCCCGGATATGGCTCCGTCGTTGCCCGTCCGCTGGCACCTCCCCGAGAGCCACAATCTAACGAACCCGTAGGTGGAGCCGACGGCCGCCATGCGTTTGGCGATCACGGCCGACACCGGGTCGGTCTCGTTCGCCCCGGACCTGTTGTGCCACGGATTGTCCCCGGCAACGTGCCTCGCCCAGAACGTGTTGAACCTCAGGACACCGGCATAGGGGTCTGCACATATAAAACAACGAAGTCGATGGGAGTTTGGAGGCGCAGCGCAGAGATGGACAACGCGGGATGGTAATGTGCTACCTACTCTCAAACCTCTCCTCAAGCCCTCGGGTGGACGCCGCATCGGCATCGCCATGGAGGAGCAACGCGAGGAGTATAGCAAGGGCGAGCGGACGCACGGCGGAGGAGGTGCCCATCTTTAGTCTGCGGGTATAACTATCGGCGGCGTTTGCAGGGATATGAATCCTCTCAAGTCCTAATGAATATGCATGAGAATTGCTTGGGCCTCGATGTCCACTATATATACGTCTTTTTTCTTGAAGTCCGTCGTTGAAGGGCAGGACTTTCGGTAGTCGCGAGAGAAGCCTGTCTGCCTTTCCCTATAAAATCGTTGAAGGGCAGGACTTTCTTGCTAACGACCAGTTGCCTAGGTGTGTTTGTTGTCAGATGGGGATATCCAGATGTTGTAGATTGAATGGAACCGTATTTCAAAAAAGAGTGTTCGGTAAGGTTGTACTGTGTTATAAAACATGTTGTCAGCGGTTAGGATCTTCTCCTCTCCGTCTCTAATGATCAACACAGTAGATGAAAGTAGAAGAACAAAATAGACATGAGATAGGGAGACTATTCTTTATTTCTCTAAATCTTGGTGATTACAACATAGAGCTCATACGTATATATAGTCCTGCCAATGCCTAAGAGTTTGATAAGAGCCCACATGCAAACAGACTAGGATTATGATTTCTCTCTTCTCATTTTCAAATAGGATAGAGTCCGTAAGTTTTACAACAGTACGAACGGACGAAAAAAAATCGAGATACTATTTGCCTGCACGAGCAGATGCAACCTACCTAGCCTGTGGGAGTGACACGTGGGTTCGTCACCCTCATCCTGCATCCACCCAGCCAGGCCAGACAGTAGCGCTCAATTTGGTTGTATCACGTTAGCTCATGCAATTGCTTACGCTCGTGCAAACATAGACAACCAAACAGATTGCTTTCTAAGCTTTATACGGCCCCTCTCATGGCGACTACCAGCCTAGCCAAATGAAAGAGTGAGTTTTTTAGGACATTCTCCATATATAATACCCGTCCGATCTAGACATCTTTCGATCTAAGCCTTACATCATCAATAAGATGTAAGATGTAAGACTCAACGTACGTACGATCTAAGTTATCTTGTTTGAAGACTTCAGAGCGAGTTTTTTGAGTGGACTCTCCCTCTATAACGCTCGTCCGATCTAGACGTCGTCTGATTTGAGCCTTCCATCATACATTCGACGTCGTCCGATCTAGACGTCGTCCGATTTGAGGCTTCCGTAAGATGTAAGACTCTAACTCCAACGTACGTTCGAGCCAAATTATCTTGTTCGAGGACTCCAGAGCGAGTTTTTTTAGGGAACTCTCCCTCTATAATACTCGTTCGATCTAGACGTCGTTGGATTTGAGCCTTCTATCATCTTTAAGATGTAAGATGTATGACTCTAATGTACATATGACTCCAACGTACATACGAGCCAAATTATCTTGCTCGAGGACTTCGGAGCGAGTTTGTTTAGTGAACTCTCCCTCTGTAATACCCATCTGATTTGAGCCTTCCATCATCTGTAAGATATAAGACTGTAACTCCAACGTACATACGAGCCAAATTATCTTGTTCGTTTGAGGGGACTCTCCCTCTATAATACTCGTCCGATCTAGACGTTGTCCCATTTGAGTCGTCCATCACCTGTAAGATTAACTGGTTTGTGCTTACAAGTTATTCCATAATGGAACCCATTCCTGCCTTGATCTGAATTGAAAACTTGAATGTCCACCTTCATGACCATAATGACGACAATTATAAACCAGCTGGACCATAAAAAACAACATGATAAGAGTACTGATAACCATTAAAACAAAGCTGGCATTCATTAATTTGGATAATAGTTTTACAAGACTACTCAGTTGTGAAACTCAAATTACTACTTCGGGAGCACCACAAACAGCATGCCCAATAACAGAATACATGAGAGAGCAAACATTGAACTTTCATCAGATTAATTAGTTCACTCCCTACTACTACAAGTGCCCTATCTTCCCTGCAATGGTCAAGTTCGGACACCAACTACAGGCTGGCTCCTTCATCTTCATGCCTGGATTCTGCATAGTGAACTCTGCACCCAGGTCTGCATCTTCTTCCTTCAAGTCTTTGGACTGCAGAAGCTTCAGGTAATCCTCCTCTCACCTGAAAAGGGCAGCCTTGACCATTGCTCTGCAGCACATCACAACCAAATCAATAGCCAATTAAAGGGAGAAATGTAAACCAAAAGTTGGGTAGAACATCAATCTTGTGCGCCAGGCAACAGTAGAAGACTTGCCCTAAGCTCCAGGGTTGCTTCGAAACCCACCTCACCACTTTGAATCATTGGCACTCATTGCAAGTGATCAAGGGACGGGATCCTAGTCCAACCGGAGCTGCCGTCGACAAAGTTGATTCGCTCCTCGTGGTGGCAGATCTGTCTCCGGCGCCAAGTAGCCCGCGCGGATCCATGGCACGCAACAGCACCTCCTCTGTCGCCTGCTGCTTCGTCGCTCGTTACCGGCAGACGCCCGCTCACTCCACCCAGCTGACTCCACCTCCACAAACTCGCTGTGCCGCCCCTCCACCGCCGCCGCACCGTGGTCGCCTCCGCCGTCGTCGCGATGTGGGAGAGAGAGGGGGGAAGGGAGGGAGGGAGGGAAGGCGCGGACCAGTGCGTTGCACGTGCACTATTGTCCACTTCACCATCCACCGTGGACTGCCCACATCGGCTAAAAACATAAAACGAAGGGTACAAACTATTTTTTTAACCACTAACCAAGGTTTTAGACTCAGAAATGCACTTTCAATGCTGAAAGACCTAAGCGACACAGGCTTACAAATTAATGGATTAACAATGCATTTTACTCGAGTATAAACGTGGCCCCATTGCATTTGAATCCATCTGCACTGACATTCTATTTTTGTATTTAAAGAAATTGCTGATGATATAAATAAATTGACATATCAGGAATTCAATTAATATTCTTATTGCATTTGAAATACTTTTCATAAACACATGTGTATCGCACGGGCATATTTGCTAGTCAGTACAAATTGAAAAGTAATTCAATCAATTTTTTAACCATTGGATCTCTATTTTTGTAAGTGCCGATTAAATGATATTGAAAATAAAAACTTATAGCCGAACTGCAACTCGACCTTTTCAAGTTGTACTGTGCGCTGCCTCAAAAACAGATGGACCGCGTGAGCCACCAGTACATGAATCTTTCCTCATGACCGGTGGTCATGAAATGCGTGAATCAGTGTATAGTTTGGAAACGAGTTTCTTGGTCCACAGCACGTACAGGGTGACCGATCAATTCATTCATGCTTACCACATGCATGCTCGCCTGGGAAACGAAGAAGAACAAGGTTGTATTCTGAGTTGATCTATTTCGATATCCCTTCAGGCTTTTAGCTGCTCCAGCAAACTACCAGTTCTGTAGTAGTCCACACGACATGTTTTCTCAGTTCTCTCCCACGCTCAGGATGAGCATTGCTGCTCTCACGTTCATTGTTCTTCTGTTCATCACCGGGGGCGGGGATTCTGCTGTCCATGAGCAGGTTGCTGCTCCTCCATCCGGCTCCGGCAAGCCTTCCTTCAAGGGTGGGTTTTCTCTCCCCATCATCCACCGGAATGACCCGAGGAGTCCAATTCGGGATCCCACTGTTACCACTCTCGACCTGTTCAAGGAGGAGATTCAACTGGCCTTGTCACCTATGCCCGCTGATGATGCCTTGGCCAGCGATGCTTGCCCCAGTCCGTTTCCGCCGTGGTCTCTATCTTGTGCCGCTCCGCATCGGTGGTTCTCTCGACCACATCTCTTCGAGGTACCTCATGTTTGACACCGGTACTGATCTATCCTGGATGCAGTGCTCTCCTTGTTATGCCTGTGCACGTGGCCATTACCCACTTTATAATCCGTCCAAGTCTAGCACATTTCGTAGTGTCTTCTGTGATGATCCACTCTGTGAGCGTTCTTCCGGTCTCCGTTGTGCTGACTCAGCCAGCAGAGAGTGCAATTTTTATAGGGGATACGTTGATGGGATCAGTTGGGCCAGAGGTTACCTAGTATCTGATATTTTCCACTTCAGCTATGAAGGCATCTATGACTACCACTTTGAGCCGCAAGTTGTTTTCGGCTGTACCACATCTGAAAGGTCATGTTTGTAAGGGAATACGACGAGGACATCACTTCTACATATACAACCACATCACCTACAGCTATAGCACCATCCATTTCACCATCTAAAGCTAGGCCAGCAATTCACAAATTTTACATAAGAAGAGATCGAAATGTGTTCCTAATCAGGAACCTTGGAGTTGAAAACAAAGATATTTGAGCTGATATTTTATGTTGTATTTGTGGCTGTCCACAGTGCAGTCACCACTTGCAGCCAGTTAGAGTATAGTAGGCTAAACTATTTGTTTGTTACTTGTTAGCTGTCCAGATTCATGGAACAACCTCCATATTAACAATAGTAATAGACTTAGCTGTCGCCAGTATATTATAGTAGCATGCACTGTAGCAGCAGCCATTTTGGCTATAAAAGGAGGGGTACCTCCATATGTAAGAGTTGTCTTTTTACTGCTTGTGTTGTCTCTTGTGTCGGTTAGACCAACCTCTACTCAAAGCCACATCTTAATATTTCACTACATACTTACAATTTTAGATTGTTTGCACCTTGTTCTTGCTGGTTTTCTTCCATTTCTTACAGGAACAGACCCTAGTGGTTAGGTCAGCTTGATTTTGGCTAGGCTGATAACATCTCAAGGGTTGGTTCAGCAGTTGCTAGGCTATTGGAACCTCTTGGTCAGCAGCCTGGATTGTGTGAGTCGCCCTCACAATTGAAAGACATCTCATCTCACCGAAAGGTTGTGCTACTAAAGTGTTACATCAACTGGTATCGGAGCAAAGGTTAATCGGTGAGACTGAGTTTTTAGTAGTAGTGTTCTTTTACCTATAATCCAAGAGAGAGAGAGAGTTTGCCACATCCTATCCAAACCAATTTGAGCCTAGTTTGCAATCTCTTTTCAGTTTATGCTTTGTTGAATCTTTGGGTTGCATTGTCATATGTTAAGTTGCTGGTCATAATTCTTGCTTAAAGCTTCTAGTTGAGATCTATCTTGAAAAAGAAAGAAGAGAAAGTAAATTCAGTACCATCGCCGCATAAGTACGGAGCTTTCTTGGACTTGCTGGATTTTATAGACGTTTTGTCCAAGAATTCAGTACCATCGCCGCACCATTAAATGAGTTGACGAAGAAAGGAGCTCCCTTCCATTGGGGGCCAGCACACGAAAATGACTTCAACCTTCTCAAAGAGAAACTCACTAATGCTCCCCTACTCTAACTTTCTGATTTTGGTAAACCTTTTGAACTCAAATGTGATGCTAGCGGGATACGCATTGGAGGTGTATTTAATTCAAGATGGTAAGCCTGTAGCCTATTTTAGTGAGAAATTAAGTGGACCTAATCTAAATTATTCTACTTATGATAAAGAATTATATGCCTTAGTTCGCACCCTAGAGACCTACAACATTACTTGTGGCCAAAGGAATTTGTGATTCATTCCGATCATGAGTCTCTCAAACATATTAGAAGCCAAAACAAACTAAATCGTAGACATGCAAAATGAGTGAAATTTATTGAATCTTTTCCTTATATCATAAAACACAAAAAAGGAAAGGAAAATATCATTGTTGATGCATTGTCTAGACGTTATACCATGTTATCTCAACTTGATTATAAAATATTTAGTTTGGAAACTATCAAAGAGCTATATGAGTATGATGCTGATTTTAAAGAAATAATGTTGCACTGCAAGGAAGGAAGGGGCCGGAATAAGTACATTGTGAGTGATGGACTTTTATTTCGTGCTAACAAGCTATGCATTCCAGCTAGCTCTGTCCGTCTTTTGTTGTTACAGGAGGCCCATAGAGGTGGACTAATGGGACATTTTGGTGTGAAGAAGATAGAAGATGTGCTATGCGATCATTTCTATTGGCCAAATATGAGACGTGATGTCGAGCGCTATGTGGCACGCTGCACCACTTGTCAAAAAGCTAAGTCACATCTTAACCCACATGGTTTATACATGCCTCTACCTATTCCTAGTGCTCCTTGGGAGAATATCTCGATGGATTTTGTTCTAGGACTGTCTAGGACAAAGAAGGGGAGGGATAGCATTTTTGTTGTCGTGGATAGGTTCTCTAAATGGCACACTTCATACCTTGTCATAAAAGTGATGATGCTACACATATTGTTGATTTATTCTTTAGGAAAATAATTCGCTTACATGGAGTCCCTAATACAATAGTCTCCAATCGTGATACAAAATTTTTAAGTCATTTCTGGAGGACACTTTGGGCTAAATTGGGGACAAAGTTACTATTTTCTACTACATGTCATCCCCAAACATATGGCCAAACTGAAGTTGTTAATCGTACTATATCAATCATGCTTAGAGCTATTCTAAAGAAGAATTTAAAAATATGGGAGCAAGTTTTTGCCTCACGTAGAATTTGCTCATAATCATTCAGTACATTCTACAACCAATATATGCCCTTTTCAAGTTGTTTATGATTTTATGTCTCATGCACCAATTGATTTATTGCTTCTACCGTCTTCAGAGAAGGTAAATTTTGATGCTAAAGAACATGCTGAGTTGATCTTGAAAATGCATGAAATTACTAAAGCAAACATAAAAAACATCAATGAAAAGTATAAAATTACAAGTAGTCAAGGTAGAAAGGAAATCACATTTGAACCTGGAGATGTAGTTTGGCCACATTTGTGAAAGGATAGGTTCCCAAACATAAGAAAATCAAAGTTAATGCCTAGAGTTGATGGTCCTTTTCGTATACTAGAGGATAAATGATAATGCTTATAAACTGGATTTGCCTACAGAGTTTGGGGCTAGTCCCACATTTATTGTTTTAGATTTGAAGCCATACATGGGAAATGAAGATGAACTTGAGTCGAGGACGACTCCATTCCAAGAAGAGGAGGATGATGAGGACATCATTTCTACAGATACAATCACACCACCTATAGTTATAGTACCATTCATTCCACTACCTGAAGCTAGGCCATCATTTCACAAATTTTACACAAGAAGAGATCGAAATGTGCTCCTAACCAGGAAGCTTGGAGTTGAAGACAGATATTTGAGCTGATATTTTATGATGTATTTGTGGTTGTCCACAATGCAGTCACCACTTGCAGCCAACTAGAGTATAGTAGGCTAAACTATTTATTTGTTACTTGTTAGCTGTCCAGATTCATGGAGCAGCCTCCATATTAACAGTAGTAATAGACTTAGGTGTCGTCAGTACATTAGTAGTAGCATGCACTGTAGCAGCAGCCATTTTGGCTATAAAAGGAGGGGTACCTCCATATATAAGAGTTAGGTTTTGTTTTGGTTCAGTTCCTTTGAAAACTACTGCTTGTGTTGTCTCTTGTGTCGGTTAAACCAACAAACCAACCTCTACTCAAAGCCACATCTTAATATTTCACTACATACTTACAATTTCAGATTGCTTGCACTTTGTTCTTGCTGGTTTTCTTCCATTTTTTGCAGGAACGGCCCCTAGTGGTCAGGTCAGTTTGGTTTTGGCTAGGCTGATAACATCTCAAGGGTCGGTTCAGCGGTTGCTAAGCTATTGAAACCTCTTGGTCAGTAGGCCGGATCGTGTGAGTCACCCTCATAATTGGAAGACATCTCGTCTCACTGAAAGGTTGTGCCACTAAATTGTCACATCAAAATATAACACCGGAATTCTAGCTCTCGGTATCAATAGTCTGTCATTTCAAGCACAAGTGGGCGTGGACAGATTCTCTTACTGTGTTCCTGCTACAGCAGGACGTGAGGATGGTGATCAAGCACTGAGCTACCTAAGGTTTGGGTCTCAAGCCCAGCTCTTAGGGAAGAGGATCCCATTTTGGAAGTTCGAAGATGGGTACAAAGTCTATCTCAATAGGGTCACATATCAGCATGGAAATCGCTTAACTCAGCAGCAACCTGTTCCTATATTTCCTGGAGACGAAGCAAATGCAAAGAGCAAAGCGAAAATGGTGGTGGCCTCGGGAACCATGGGGCTTTGGCTTCCTGACTATATATTTTACCCTCTGCTGAAGAAAATCGAGGTTGATATTTCTCTGACCAGGGTGCTCTTCGACGACAATCCTAATGCCTACTGCTACATAGGGGATATGGCGGATGCTGAACAAGTGTCGGTGACACTGGGATTCGTTGGAGGGGCAGAGATGCTGCTGTCCGGTGATTCACTTTTCTTTGAATACAATGGGAACTTGATTTGCTTGGGGGCTACTCGACAGTTCTAGGAATATATGCCCAGCGTAATACTAACATGGGGTTTGATTTACTTAAAGGAGAGATAGCAATTGATCAAGCTGGTTGTAGTTTGTAATCTAGATTTTGTTGTGCTCTAGTTCAGAGATAGCCGTGGTTAGTATAAGTCACTGGAATAAAGTGAAGTCATCTTTTAAAGTTAGGCTAGCTGTGTTTTGATGAATTGTCGTGTTACTCACTTAGGTTGTCACTTTCATGATAAATTATCATGTTGTTGTCTTAATATTTATGTTGTTCCATCTTTGGTTGTTCCTTGATGAAATACAATTACCGTGTGTGTGGCCTGACTATAATTCTTATGTTGTTGCCAGTGTATCTGAATCACCTTCTTAACACAAATTCAAGCTACCCTTTCGCTAGTCACTATCCTTAATATATGCTTATATCCTGTTCTGTAAGATGTGAGGCACATTATCCTATTTTGAGTGGTGTGTGAACGAGAGTTCTTTAATCTCTCTGCATTATAAATACCGCCTTTACCTCAAGGGACAGATTTTTGTGCATACTATAAAATCATGGTATTTTACATTGTCAGAGAGTTGATGGAACACAAGGCACAATTTGTTAATTAAATGGACCTGTCCATAAATCGATGATTTTTAATGTCTCAATTCATTGTTTCTCTAGTCATTCTATTATTTTCCTCGATCATTGGTTGGTATTACTTACTGGTTTAGTATATATTGTTGTTTTTCTAATTAGTAGTTTTAATTTTTACCTCGTTGTCAATGGACAAGTTTCACCTACTAGTTAAAAAATACTACCTCCATCCTAAAAAATGGCACTCAAGTTTTGTTCTAAATCAAGCTATTTCAATCCAACCAAGTTAATAGAGAAAATTATTAACATTATGAAATTATATTTCATGATGAGTCTAATGTCACTTATTTAATAATATAAGTATTTGTACTCCTATATAAATTTGGTCAAACCTAAAATAGTTTAGCTTAGGACAAAACTAGAAGGCTAGAAGGTACGAGTATCTGTGCTAAGTAACCTAACCATTGGAGTTTCCCTAAAGCTCACATTTGGTTAGTATCTTTAGTAATGATGACTACACAGAATAGTTTCCATAAGGCAATTCTTAGGAAAAACACCGAGGGGCTGGTATTGGGTTGGCAATTTCACATGTCATAAATCACAAACGCACTTACACAAGTAATTTTTCTTCCCTTTCAGTCGATGGTAGACAGAAAATCAGGTAAGACACTCCAACATCAGATTAGGCTAGAGGATCAAATTATATTTCAGATGCTAACATGGCAGCAACGAAGGGTGGGCCTGGTGCAAGCCGTAGAGTCTTACCGCCTGTGACCGGAAGGTCCCGGGTTTGAGTCGCGGTCTCCTCGCATTGCACAGGCGAGGGTAAGGCTTGCCACTGACACCCTTCCCCAGACCCCGGGCAGAGTGGGGCTCTTTGCACCGGGTACGCCCTTTTTTATGCTAACATGGCAGCAACGATCGATGATTCTTGCAGGAGTCATGGTCGATCCACTACATCTTCAAGTATGTGGGAAATCTTGTATCTGTTTGGATTTTTTTTAGCCTTGCCCCCACCATGTTGAACAAGAAGAGAGGAACGGTTGTTTGGATCATGGACAAAATCATATAAGGGCTTGTGGAGGCAAGGTTTTATCTTACTTTTGTGGGGGAGGCGAATCAGCTGGTCTAGGTTAGCAAGGATGTCCTAGTCCTAGCTTGCTCAGCAAGATGAGGCTAGCGAGCTGGGCAAGGATACCAAACAGACCTGACTCCCGGGATGCCAAAGCTCCCCTGCCACTATCTCCAAGGTGAAGGTGTCTCTCAAGATCAATGGTAGAGCTCGCCTAAACTTTTAGGTGGGGTAGACCTTACCTCTCTTAGATGGCACCAACACCCAGTCCGTTCTTTGTACTATAAACTAACACTTTTTTTTTCTTTTGCACAAAGAAATACCGAGGACCTGGTGTGATAGATGGCCATATATCAAGTGAACATGGGTATTCTTCCCTAGGCAAAACCTCGAACACCTTGCGTGCATAAAATGCATATCCAAATTCAACCAAATTGCATGCCATTTGACATAAGAGAACAAATAAATTGTTCCCAGCGACGGAGGCAACGGTGGAGCTGGGGGGCTCTAGCCCCCCTTACCGATCTTGGACACGTGGAGCCCTCTAAGCTTTCTCTTAAAATTTTATGCATATATGTATTAGGTAGGAGGGACTAAGGTTAAGAGAAAATAAAAAAAACATATATTCTTTTGTTCAGTTCCTCCTAAATTTTTTTCTAGCTTCGTCACTGATTGTTCCCATCCAATTGACGCAAGACTAAAGCATGCGTATAGTCATTGTTTAGTCCTCAATCCCTAATTCAAAAACTAGTGGGGGAATGATGCTAAATAGAAACTTACGAATGGAGGGGGGGCTTTGTGTGTATCCTGTATCGTCTCCCTGGTTTCTGTAGTCCGCGATGGGTGGCAGCGGACCGGCTGGCTGGCAATGGCGGGCACCCGACCCCAGCTGCATCTAGGGGCGGTGGGAAGTGGCAGCGCGGCACCTGATAGCGAACAACGGAACAAGCGACACAGGGCCGGGGCCAGGCGTTGGTGTGCAGGTGTTGTACTGCTGTGTGCGCTAGTACTTGGGCTGATGGGCTCGCCCCCTCGAAGTTGGCCCATGCCTCGGGAGCTCGGCCTTGTTGCTTGTGCAGACCCGCCGCGCCGCCACTGGCCTCTCCGCTTGCTGGAGACGCCGGTAGAGAGGAACAAGACAAGGGTGGGGGTCCTCCTTGTCGGCTGACCCTGCTCAAGTTGCTCGTGTGTTTTAGCACGTGGTAATTTGTATTGACTTTTAGAAGAAAAAAAAATATGTGCGGTGATCATTTGGTAAAAAAGAATGCTAGGCCTTGTTTAGATGATGGTTGCGAATTAGTATTTGACACTGTAGTATTTCCGTTTGTATGTGATAATTATTATCCAATCATGGCCTAACTAGGCTTAAAAGATTTGTCTCGTAATTTACAATCAAACTGTGTAATTAGTTATTTTTTTATCTACATTTAATACTCTATGTATGTGTCAAAAGATTTGATGTGACGAAGAGAGAGTGAAAAAATTTGGAATCTAAACGCGGCACTAGCATGGGTTGATGCAGAGGTCCAATCGACTGTTGAGTGATTAGGTAGAAGAACAGTGTTGCGCCTGCACTACATTGATCACTGAGTCCTATACTAGCTTTATTTCTCTGTCCAAGCGAGAACAACATGAAACATCAATAATGGTACCAAACAGTACATGTCTCAGTGACCATGATTGTCTAGCTCCTCCTGTTCACTTGCATTGACAAGCCACCATCCATCCGCAGTGTCAGCGAAAGCACGAGCCCAGGCCGCCGCTCGCTGCCGACGAACCGGAAGCTGAACCTCTCCAACACGCACGCGATGACGGATTTCATCTGGATGTAAGCCATCTCCTTGCCGAGGCACATCCGCGGCCCGGCGTGGAAGATCGGGTACTTGAACGGGCTCTCCGGCCGGAACGCGCCGTCCTCGCCGAGCCACCGCTCCGGCTTGAACAGCTCGCAGTCCTTGCCCCATATGTCCTCCATCCGCGCCATGGCGTACGCTGAGTAGCTTATCAGCCACCCTTTCCCGATGAAGGTGCCGTCCGGTAGGAAGTCGTCCTCCCTGCAGCCGTGCGTGTCCATGGCCACCGGCGGGTACAGCCGCATGGACTCGGTGATGGCGGCGTGGAGGTAGTGCATGTCGCGCAGCTCGTCAACGCTGAACGTCGCCGCGCCCGTGATGCTACCCTGATGGCTGGAGGCTCGCACCGCGCGGACCTCGCGCACGATCCTGTCCTCCACGTCGGGCCGCGTGGAGACCAGCCAGAAGAACCAGGACAGCGCCGACGACGTCGTGTCGCGCCCAGCTAGGAGGAAGTTGGTGACCACGTCCCGGAGGCTCTCATCGCTGTGCTCGCCGGCCGCGGCGAATCGCGACAGGAAGTCGTCCCTGCACGCCAGGCCGACCTCGCTTCTCCTCTCCCTGCGCTCGCGGACGATCCTACCAGCGTAGCCGTGGATGGTGCCGAGCGCCGAGCGCATCCGCCTCTCGGGCTCCACGTTGAGCAGCCTCTTGAGGCGCCACAGCGAATTGACGGGAGACATGAAGCGGGCCATGACGGCGTTCTGCGCGTCGTTGAAGGCGCGCATGAACTCGGCGCTCCGGCCGGGCGCGGCCATGCTGTCCTCGGCGAGGCACGCCGGGTCGTCGCCGAACGCCACGCGGCAGATGCTGTCGAACGCGAAGCGCTCGAGCACGTCCTGCAGGTCCAGCGTCCGGCCGTCGCGCGACGCCCGGTCGAGCAGCGGCAGCAGCCGCTCGGTGACCTCGAAGCGGGCGGCGTCGACGACCAGGCTCCTGAGGGAGCGCCTGCCGAACTCGTAGCTGGCAGCCCTGCGCTGCCGCAGCCACTGGTCGCCGTCGGAGTTGAAGATGCCGTGGCCGAGGAAGTCCTCGAGCCTGGAGACCGCGAGCTCGCCCTTGGGGTAGTTGGCGAAGTTGGTCTTGACGATGTGCTCGACATTGGCAGGGCTGGCGGTGATGGCAACGCCGGTGAGGCCGAGGGCCTTGACGGACATGGTGTGCGTAGGGTCGCGCGTCAGGATGTCCGTGGTCCACTCGAGGAAGCGGTGGTGGTTCTTGAGGAAGTGAGGGAGAGTGCCCAGGAGCGGGTAGACCTTGAGCCTTGCGGCGCGCGGCTGCCGCTTGGCGTCCTGGCGCAGGTAGAGCAAGGATAGCAGAGGGATTAGAGCGAGGAGCAGGACGAGTTCGAGAGCAGGGGAGAGACTCCATGGCGATCAAACTGGAAACGTGCCTACCCAACGTGATTGATCCCTTGGAACTAGCAATAGCAATGCATCCACCGGCCACAGGCCCACAGCAACTCTGTCTCTCTCTCTCATCGCTGCACCAGTCCGTGACTGTGATTCCGTCCTCCGGTGCTCGTGAGCGTCTGTCCCTCTGTCCCTGGCCTTCGCGTATGTGAATGAGCGAATCCGATCCGTTGGCTCTCTGCTGCCTGCTCTAATAAGCCACTAATAACATGTGCCGAGAACGGGCCACGCGAGGTGAAAACGTCCAACGCGAGGCGAAAATGGCTTGTGGCGGGCCGAGAACAGGCCACGCGAGGCTGAAACGGGCCCAAAACGGGTCACGGGAGGGGGAAACGGGTAACAGCAAATCTAGCATGCATGCACGATTAGACCGCAAGTATTTGACGCAATAATGGGGTCCCGGCCGGTAATGTTTTTCGCATACCTGCTTACACAATCAGGGAATGGCTTTACTATATACTGCATGTTCTTCGATCTTATTGCTGGCGATAGGAACGAAGGGCAAACTGATGCACTGAGACACGACAGAGAGGAGTGTGAGGAGCATCGCGAGACGAGATAGCATTAAGCAAGCAGCAGGCTTTAGTGAGTGGCTATTCGACCGATCCTTGTCCTGGCCTCTAATCTAATTAAAATCCCAATCAGGGCGTCATTAGCCACTTGCTAACCTGGTGCGTTCCAATCCACACTCGATTATAAGCTGCTACTAGTACTTGTCTACTACGCGGCTAGAAAGAGACCGGCGGACCAGCTGTGTCTGTTTTGCCGGAGCGACTTTAATTCCTGACGCAACCAGCATTAGTCTCTTTTGTCCTTCCGGATACGCCGTAATCTCTATGATTCTATAGTTCTCCTCCGGATCATCATCATAATTCATATATATACGCAGAATAAGATGCCAATAACCCTAAGGTCCCGTAAGGTTAGGACGTTCCGGGTCATTCCAGGCTAGAAACAGTTCCATGCTATTATAAATCATTAAGGGTCCATTCGTCTATTCGACCACTCGGCTGGCCTCAGATTCAGGCTCCGGGTCCGGACGGACGGACACATGGGCATGTCATGTGCGTTTCCTTTAGCCACGTTTAGTTCCTAAAAACTTTTCTAAAAAGTGCTACAGGAGCTATTACATCAAATCTTACAATACGTGCATGGAACATTAAATGTAGACGAAAAAAAATTAATTATACAGTTTGGTTGGAAATTACGAGACGAACGTTTTGAGCCTAATTAGTCCATGATTGAACACTAATTATCAAATAAAAACGAAAGTGCTTACGGTAGCCAAATTCCCAAAATTCCGTGAACTAAACACAACCTTAATTTCGGGAGATGTTTTGTGGTACACGCAAGTCGGAAAGGCAGTGTGGATGACGATGCATGGCACGCGCTTTTCTTCCGTAGTGCCAGCTGCTGACAGGTGAGGTGCGTCAAACGTCTACGACGAAAAACAAGTGTTTAGAAAGCACGTATGAGGATCTAATTCCAATTTGTAACGACGAAACAAACCATGTGATATCAGACTGTAAGAGGTTTTATTAGACCCTAATTTTAGTATATCACCATGGTTAATAAAAAGAAATTACAGCTAAAACTTGGTTGCAATAAATGTAATTTCAATGTAAACCAACTGGCATAAGCAAAAAAAAAAACATGTGTTGAGGCTGTAAAACAATTGACTTTCCATATACTCGGCATCCTAAATCATAAATCTTGGCGAAAATCTCATATTTAGGTCTTTTTAATAACATGTAGGTGAAAAAAAATCAATTTATATTCTACCTTCTCTACTTACATTAATACTTGTATATGGAAACCATTTTTACGTGTTTGTCTACAGCGTTCATATAATCATATTTCTCTTTTGTCCCAACGAAAAATTCATTCAATTTTCACCTGTTCAGGTTTATATATATAATATTTTTTTGAGCAACAGGTTTATATAGGTATTTTCGGCTCACTTCAGTTTGGGCTCCCAGCAGGGCCTGAAACGGAATACAAAGCCCAAGGCCTTTTTCCTTCGTGAAGGGAAATGAACGCTTTCGTCTGCCCGTTGCTCGCCCATGGACCAAAGCAGAGTCTACCGAGTGCCCGGCCATGGCGCGTGGGTGGCGGCGGTGGCGGGAGAGGGGCAATGCATGCGCTCCGTCTCTGCCGGCGGCAGTGGATCCAGATACCTTATAGAGAGAATCGATGCCGAGGTCTGGAGGCCATCCTGCGCCTCGAGCTTAACCGAACGATTTAAATCGGTATATATAAATCGTTCGGTATAAATCGGCTGGGAATTATTCCCCTGCAAACCGAACGAAGCCTGTTGTTGATTCCAGCTGCTTTTCAACACATACGTGCATCCCTACCAACACACTCGGATACTTCTACTTTGATATCGAAATATATGTCGCTGTGCCTTCTCAAAATTTAGAATAACACTTGCTCAAAAAGATAAAAAAAAAGGGACACATACACAATAATAGCTACATGCGTCCTACCTAGTACTCTGATCGTCCTCCGATCAGAAACTTGTCATTTAATTAGGACAAGCTTGGTTAAATCTTAAATATAAACATCAATGACTATTACATCATTTAGTTTAGAAACATAAATATTATATGTATAGATTTCTATTCAAAATACTTGCGAAGTCTTTTATGTTTAAAAGATTTTGAAATATATTTTAGAAAAATTATTGGTCAAACATGCGCACTAAGGACTACGTAAAGTCAAATGTGTAAAATATTTTTTGACTGGAAGAAGTTTAACATGTCATCTAAATATCAGTTACTGAATTTAAGCGCCCTTTGCAAGGGGGGAACTAGCACCGTCAATTTCATGATCTTAGACTACCATATATATATATTCAAGTTTCAAGTCAAATCCGTCTTCTCCTCTCCCATTTACAAATAAAGCAAAAAGTGCATGCAAAAGGGCACAGACCGCACAAGCATGCAGCAAAAGCGAAAGCTAATCGCTCGGGCTAGCTTGACGTAATTCTGGAACTCCAAACATGCATGCACCTCGATCTGTTCTTGGCTTTCACCCATGTTTTATTTCTCTTCTCCTACTTTCTCTGGTTGCAATTGTTGTAAAACATACTAACTCTAAGAATCTTAATCATAGTTCGTTTGGATGTAGCCTTTTACCAAACCCTTAGTCCTTGGCAGGACTATATATACATGGGAGCTCTATGTTATAATTATCAATATTCAGATAAATAAAGAATAGTATCTCTATCTCTTGTGTCTATATGTTCTACTTTCATCTACTATGTTGATCATGAGAGACGGAGAGGGAAAGATCTAACCGCTAGCAACATGTTTTATAACACGTATTTTGCTTTCAATGTGTTGCATGCATAAGCAATACACCGGTCTATAGCCAAGTAGCCTAAGATCAGGGAGAGCCGGTTAATTCGAAATTAGCTAAATAGAGAAGTGACCTAATTGATGGGACGAATAATTATGGAATTAATATGGTGGATAACACACTGAGATGATTTGGGATTTTTGAAGAAAATGCATTTCGGGAATTTTGTATTAATGGCAATTAGAAATTTCTAGAAGAAATTCCATGTGATTTTGAATATTGCGTATTTTATACATTTGAAGTATATGGTCCATTTTTATATATGAGTACTTGATCAATTATTTTGGCTAAACAATAAAGAAGCTAGACAATAAAATGGTTTTCTAAAATATGATATGTGCAAATCAGGGGGAGAACATCCATGAGTTCGTAGAAATGCTAAACATTCTTAAGTACACTTTATGTATTCTAGCTGGCTGCATTAATGAAAAATAACCCCCGTATTTAAATATGTGTGTTAATATTTTTCTAAATCTCTATCATAGCATACATGGATGGGCATCCACTTGTAGTTGAAGATACATGAATTTAATTTTTTTAGCCCATGATAAGGGATATTTTTTGAAGTATGCTATTAAAAATCTAATAATATTGGCATTAGGGAGAGAGAAAGCCTATTTTAAATGTCAAATATTATTTCCATAGAAGGAAAATAGTTTTAAGAGAAAAATATTCCTTGAAGCTTCAAGCAGGAATAGTATCACGCACTAAATCAAACAATAGTTTGACTAATGCTCTTGTGAAGCATGAAGCGGAGCATATGACAGGTATTTTTGAAAATGAGAGGAGTAACTTGAAGTTATAAACCAGAAGTTGTATTTACTAGTAGTAAACTAAATGTTGTATACTATCAAGCTAAAATCTATGAGGACGCCTGTGGATTCTAGTTTAGTGTATACTTGTTAAATAGAAATAAAATAAAAATCCTCCATTCTCGTGAAAAGAACACCTCATGAAGAAGGTTAAGCACCTCATGAAGATGATCATCATAGTGTTGGGTACGCAGAACAATAAATTATCTCTTGTTTGGGAAATAACAAAGAAACAGAATAATCTCATATTATGAGAATATTAGGAGAAAATAATAGTTGTCGACAACGCTACCTCTACAATTGCAAATGTTTCTTTTATGAGAACCCGAATTCGAAAAACAAAGTCTATGACAAAGTCGCTTGTAACGATTATATCGGATCAATGAAGAAAGCAATTGAGAGTGAATCTCCTACTAAGAAGAAATTAAATGTTCTGCTATATCTCTGGCAAATGAATTGAATGATTATGGAATATACAATTAATAAGTGGATTATGAAAAATTCATATAATTCTTGAAGAATATAAATCGCAACATATGAAAATTAAATCCCATACTAAGTATTAAAAAACTCGACCGGGGGTTAAGACTACCCCGCAGCATTACAAATAAGAGAAGGACCTTCTCACCCGGCCGAGAAAACCCCCGAACCTCCGCCCCACCCTTACACGGTGGCTTTCCGTCGCCCAAGTGAGAATTAGGCCGGTGCCCCCCAGTGCTTTGGTTATGGGGACGGGCAAGGGGATTTTTTAACCTCAGCCTGAAATTCGCTCCCACGGGGAGTCGAACTCAGGACCTGAGGAGTGCCGTCGGGTCACCTAACCGTTTGAGCTATACACCCTTTGGCCATACTAAGTATTAAGAAGTCTAAGGTAGAATATATTCCTGTATGAAT